AGGAATGCCAGGACTTTGTTTTAAAACCTGTTTTATTTGGTTAGTCTGGCTTGATTAAAGCATGAACAAAGTTACTCGATTGGGTAGCTTATATATTTTGGATGTTAACATACATGCCCAAGGCTCAGGGAGATCAGAATGTCATAATAAAGCTCACACATATTTGTGATATCTTTCAAATATCTATTAATGAGGCTGTTCTCCCTGGGTCTAGCTCACTAAAGCACTCTGCTCTGTACCACAAGTTACATTATCTGCTTATAACAATAATTATTTTTATGCTACTTTCCTCATGCTTTCCATGTGTAGTTTTTATACTTCACCTCCATAAAGTTAAGCCCTTTTTTTTCTGCAGCCACCGTCCATTTGAAAGGTTGAAGAAAAGCCTCAGCCAGAGTGCAGAGACCTTCCCTACCACACAGTCTCTGCTTAGACACTGCAGGAGCTTAACTCCAGAGCTGTACCATGCTTTTTTTCTGTATACCACATCCTCAGGTGATGGTTCAAGTCCCAGAAAATAACAGTAGCTGAAAGACAGCTTTAAAAAAAACCCAGGAACTTACATTTTGAAATTGCTCTCAGAAGGAAGCATCATACTCAACTCCATCAGAAACATAAACTTACATGAACAAACGTGATTTCAGATTCGGCCTAAAATAAATGAGATCAGTCTTTCTGGAACATCTGTAGGAGACTGCAGGTGCTCTTTTCGGTTTCAAGGTGAATGAAATTTTGAGAGGCTGTAGCCACCAGACCTCCTTGGGCTAAGTGCTGCTGGGGGTAAACTGTGAGGTTTCTGCATCTCTGATTTCCAACAGTAGGCCTAATTCAACCCCTAACCTACAGTAAACTCCAACTTTGAGCAGCCCATGAGTGATGTGCCTGATTGCATTTTCCTCACCACCTTTTTCCTGTGCCTCTAGAGCCCCACAGGAGCTGCAGGATCCTCAGCAAGGGAAGATGCTGCAGATCAGAGGGCTGGAGCACCTCTCCTATGAAGACAGTCTGAGAGAGCTGGGGCTGTTCAGCCTGGAGAAGAGAAGGCTCCAGGTGGACCTTATAGCACCTTCCAGCATTTGAAGGGGCCTACAGGAAAGCTGGGGAGGGATTTTTTACCAGGGATTGTAGTGATACGATGAGAGGTAATGGTTTTAAACTGGAAAAAGGGAGTTTTAGGTTAGACATTAGGAAGAAACTCTTTAGTGTATGGGTGGTGAGACACTGGAACAGGTTGCCCAGGAATGTTGTGTTCAAGGCCAGGTTGGCTAGGGCTTTGAGCAACCTGGTCTAGTGGGAAGTGTCCCTGTCCATGCAGGGGAGTTGGAACTAGATGACCTTTAAGGTCCTTTCCAACTCAAACCATTCTCTAATTCTATGATTCTATGATCAGCTGCTAAGCAGCACCTTGCTGGGCTCCTCCTGGGCACCTTGCTGAGTTTCAAGTCTACAAAAACAGGACACTCGTTATTTAAGATAGGTAGAATAATTGCCTCCTACCATAACTGTGGGTCCTGGTATCTGCTGAATTTGAGACTGAGCAGATGCAGGAGCTATGAATGTTTACTCAGGATGCTGTGGCCTTCCAGCATCCACAAGTGCCAATCCAAATGTTCATGTTTGAGACCCTGGCCCTTTGTCACAGGTCACTTGACATCACTCTTCTTGGATCTTACTTGGATCCAAACTTTTTCATTCATTCATGGGTTTTTTGTTTTGGTTTGGTTTTGTTTTTTTCCAAAAGTATAATAGTTTTATAGATTAAAATTGTATAGGAAAATATGTTTTTAAACTGTCTTATTTCAAATAGGTGCAACTCAAAATTATTTTTATTCAGTGGAGAGAACAATGGACATGAAGATGCACCAGATGTGTAATGCTCAGTAAACTTTATTTGAATACAATAAAGCTGGAAGGCAATTTAGCAGTAAATACAAATCTGATTTGTTGTTGCTTTGAAATATTCAATGATAATTAGACTGTAGTTGCTTCCTGAATTACTGACCTCTCTCAGTAACTGCTAATTGTTCCACACCTCTCATTTTGATAGACGACTTTTCCTTTAACTATAACATAGTCGATCAATGCTTCATGTCCCCCAAACTGGTAAATCAAGTGCTCCCACCTACAAAGACAGTTAAGATGTTTAAGACTTACATAAAAGCAGCTCAGTAGTATACCTGGCAATTACAAAAATTGTGTGAACCACCAGAAAGAACTATTCCATGTTTACATGTTGATCTCTTTGTTTCATGAATACAGTGAATTAATGTACAAATCAGTACATAATTCCTTCCCCAAAATAACCAGGTAATATCTTTAGAGAATTTGTAATTAGGCACAGATTATTTGTATTATTAGCCCAATAAGTTTTAGGCTTTATTTTCCACTGGAGTGATTAAGGTGAATGAAAGTGGGTCTAAAATAAGTGTCCCTTTTTTTCAGATTAAAATAACCTCTAAAGCACAATAAATTAATTAACCTCTCCACTTATCCACAATTTGGTGAAAAACAAAGTCCCTTATGTTAAATCCCATTTCAAATGACAATGGAAGAGCAAACCTTGATGAATTGATGATCACTAGATCCCCCTGCTTGCCAGTCTCTATGGAGCCATGTGTGTCTGATTTTCCCAG